TGTTCCAAAGGAAATAGTTTCTGGGCAGCTGTATTGATTGATTGATTGATTGATTTTATTTAATTTTTCGCTCACAAAGGGACATCTTCTGTCTCATGCTTTTAAATTCTCTAAGAATTCTACTATTCTTTCTGTGAGCTTCCTTCAAGTTCACAGTAAGAGCCAAATTCTTCTTTATGGTACCTAAGAGACTGCAGCTGCTTTTCCATTGTTTTGGGGACACACAAATATCTGCGTGATTTCGAGAAACTAAAACTGTTTTTTAAGTTGTCTTTTTGCATCAGATCTGAAATGTGTGAGTATTAGTTTTTGTTGCATTTTTGTTCATTTTTTCTGCACAGTCCATTCTGCTTTTATTACCAGATAGTCTTGAAATATAGTTTGAAATTGTAAGTATGATATCCTTCTGCTTTGATCTTCTTCCTCAAGATTGCTTTGGCTATCAAAGTTATTTTAGTTTCATTTAACTTTTAGAAATGTATTAGGACTATTACTATGAAAAAAATACCACTGCAATTTTGATAAGAAGTTTATTGAATCTATAGATCACTCAGGATAATGTGGCAATTTTAAAATTTATTTGAATCTTCTCTAATTGTTCATAGTTCTTTTTTTTTTTTTGAGACGGAGTCTTGCTCAGTTGCCAGGCTGGAGTGCAGTGGCACAATCTCTGCTCACTGCAACCTCTGCCTCCTGGGTTCAAGCTATTCTCTGCCTCAGCCTCCCAAATAGCTGAGATTACAGGTGCCCGCCACCTTGCTCAGTTAATTTTTTTGTTTGTTTTTTTTTTGTAGAGATGAGATTTCACCATGTTGGCCAGGCTGGTCTTGAATTCCTGACCTCGTGATCCACTCACCGCAACCTCCCAAAGTGGTAGGATTACAGGCGTGAGCCACCACTCCTGGCCCATAGTTTTTTTTTTGTAAAGATTTTTTACCTCCTTGGTTAATCTTTTTCTGAGAAAGTTACTACTTAATGCTATAGTAAATAAGAATTTTTTCTTCCTCTATTTTATCAGATAGTTTAAGTGTATGAGACCATACATATGCTTGTATGTTAATTTTATATTTTGCTAATTTACTGAGTGTATTTATCACTTTAGACAGGTTTTAATGTACTATTTATTGATATTTAAATATAAGATTGTATGATCTACAAACAGCAACTTTTTACTTATTTTTCTTTAATTTCAATGGACTTTTTTCTTTTATTAATTCTTCTTTCACATGCTTCCAGTGCTACATTAAAATAGAAGCATTGACAATGGACACAATATAGTTTTGTATTGGTGCCTAAATTTGATGGCGCAAACACCTCTTCAAGTTTTTATAAACTGATTTTAGAAGGTAAAGATCTTTTGTTGGGCCCTTAGGGTGATGAGACGCCCTCTGAATTTGTAGTGAACAGGGATTGTAGATTGGTCACAAGGCTGCTGGGTCTGCACTAGGGTCCACCTTTAGTTAGCTTGTTACAGGGTCTTGGGATTACCCAAGAAAGCTACCCAATAATATTCTCATTTTATTTTTGGACAGACTGCATATCCTTCAGGGCTTTGCTCCATAGGGAAGACACTAGCACATGTTTTTGTAGTCAGGTCTGCATATGGTGGGCCTTATGTCTGGATATCGATGAGTATGGCTTTTATTGAGTACCAGAGAGCATTCCCTCAGATAACTGGGTGGGTTTCTTTTTTTTTTTTTCCGAGACGGAGTCTTGCACTGTTGCCCAGGCTGGAGTGCAGTGGCACAATCTCGGCTCACTGCAAGCTTCACCTCCTGGGTTCACACCATTCTCCTGCCTCAGCCTCCCAAGTAGCTAGGACTACAGGCGCCCGCCACCATGCCCGGCTAATTTTTTTTGTAGTTTTAGTGCAGACGGGGTTTCACCATGTTAGCCAGGATGGTCTCGATCTCCTGACCTCATGATCCGCCTACCTCGGCCTCCCAAAGTGCTGGGATTACAGGTGTGAGCCCCCGCGCCCGGCAACTGTGTGGGTTTCTATATAGGCAGAACTGACCGTAAACTTGATCTTGTCTAAGTGAGTAGTCATGGAGATAGTCTTTTTTTCACCATGTGTTTAATGATGAACATATATTTCCTTTTGTGAGTGAAACGCTTCTTTTATTTGAAGGTCATTTTCAAAAAGATTTGTAATTCTGGTTTTTTTTTTTTCAGTTTTCTTTAAAAAAAATTGTTTTAAAAACACATAACATAAAATTTACCGTCTTAATTCAATCGTACATTTTCAGGGCCAGGCATGGTTGTGGCTCCCATCTGTAATCCCAGGAATTTGGGAGGCCAACACAGGAGGATCTCTGAAGCCCAAAAGTTTGAGACTGGCCTGGGAAAGATATGGAGACCCCCCTCTATAAAAATAATTTAATAATTGCCAGGCATGGTGGTGTGCAGCTGTGGTACCTGCTACTTGGGAGATTGAGGGGGAGTCAAGGTTGTGCCACTACATTTCAGTTTGAATGACAGAGTGAGACCCTGTCTCAAAAAAAAAAAAAAAAGCTGTTCATTTCAGGCATGTTAAGTTTATTCTCATTGTTATGTAAAAGACTTCTAGACACTTTACATCTTGTAAAACTAAAGCTCAATACCCATTAAGTAACAACTGCTCATTTTACCCTCTCTCTAGCCCTTGACAAACTTTCCACTTCCTGTTTTTATGATTTGACTACTTCAGATATCTCATATAAGTGGTGTCATATGGTATCGATAATTTTGTTACTGGATTAATTCAAATGACATAATATTTTCAGTGCTCATCTTAAAATGTGACAAGATTGTTCTTTTCAAGATGGAATAATATTCCATTGTATGTATATATTACATATTTTGATATGTTTATAAATCAAGAGACATCTGAGTTGCTTCAGTCTTTTGGCTTTTGTGAATACTGGTGCAATAAACATGGATATTCAAATATGTCTTCCAGGTCCTGTGTTGCTTTTTTTTTTTTCTTTCTTTCTTTCTTTCTTTTTTCTTGAGAAGGAGTCTTGCTCTATTGCCCAGGCTAAAGTGCAGTGGTGTGATCTCAGCTCACTGAGACCTCTGCCTCCTGGGTTCAAGCAATTCTCCTGCTTCAGCCTCCCAAGTAGCTGGGATTATAGGCACCCAGCTAATTTTTTATATTTGTAGTAGAATGGGGTTTATTATGTTGGCCAGGAAGGTCTCGAACTCCTGACCTCAGATCATCTGCCCACCTTGGCCTCCCAAAGTGCTAGGATTACAGGCTTGAGCCACTGGACCTGGCCTGTGTTACATATTTTGTATATAGATATAATAAGTGAGGAACATTTATAACATTTTAAAATAATGGCTGCATCTTTGTTTTCCAGCAGCAAGCAACATGAGTTTCATTTTTATTGCAACATCAACAAATTAGGAGTTTTAAAAAAAATTTACAGTGGCCATTCTAATGGATATGAGGTGATTTTGTTTGTCATTGTGTGTTTTTTTAAATTTCTCTACAAATCAGTATTTTTGTGCATTCTTTCAAATGCTTTTTCCCATTTGTGTAGTTTTTTGATGAAATTTTTTTTGTTCATTTCTAAATCAAGTTATTCAACTTTATTGTTTAAACAGTTGTTTATTTATTGTGATTATTAACTTCCTTCACATGAAATTTGCAAATGTTTTCATCCATTTTCTAAGGGAAGTTGCCACTTTGGAATTTTCTTTTGATGTATAGAAATTTTGATGTCTAGTGTAGTCAGACTTTTCTGTTCTTGTATTTGTTGCTCATGCATTTAATGTCGTATCTAAGAAAATGGTGCCAAGACCAATGTCGTGTCTTTCTCCTGTATTTTTTCTTTCTTTCTTTTTTTTTTCTTTTCGGTGAGACGCAGATTTACTCTTTTTTCCCAGGCTGGAGTGCAATGGCACAATCTCAGCTCACCGCATCCTCCGCCTCCGAGGTTCAAGCGATTCTCCTGCCTCAGCCTCCCGAGGAGTTGGGATTACAGGCATGTGCCACCATGCCCGGCTAATTTTGTATTTTTAGTAGAGACGGAGTTTCACCGTGTTGCCCAGGCTGATCTTGAACTCCTGACCTCAGGTTATCTGCCCGCCTCTGCCTCTCAAAGTGCTGGGATTACAGGTGTGAGCCACTGCGCCCGGCTTTCCTGTATCTTTTCTAATAGTCTTGTTAGTTATGTCTAAGTATTTTGTTTAAAATATATTTTTGGGCCGGGAGCAGTGGCTCACGCCTGTAATCCCAGCACTTTGGGAGGCAGAGGTGGGAGGATCACGAGGTCGGGAGATCGAAACCATCCTGGCTAACATGGCGAAACCCTGTCTCTACCAAAAATACAAAAAAAATTAGGCAGGCATGGTGGCGGGCGCCTGTAGTCCCAGCTACTCGGGAGGCTGAGGCTGGAGAATGGTGAGCCCGGGAGGCGGAGCTTGCAGTGAGCCAAGAGCACGCCACTGCACTTGAGCCTGGGCAACATGGCAGGACTCCGTCTCAAAAAATGTATATTTGTATATTTGTGTCATTCAAGAAAATAATCCAACTTTATTTTATCAGTGTTGATATTCAGTTTTCAGCATCATTTTTTGAAGAGATTACTTTTCTCTATTTTGTACTCATGGCAACTTTTTGAAAGATCATTTTATCATATGTAGAAGGGTTCATTTCTGAGCTCTCTATTCTGGTCTTTCATCTGTTTATCTTTGTGTCAGTATCACATTGTTTATGTTACTGTAGCTTTTAACTGTGGGTTGTATTGACATCTGTGAAGAATAAAATTTTTTGACCCCTAAGCGAGAATATGTTGAAGAGTGTGTTTTATATTCACATATTTTTGAATTTGCCAGTTTGCCTTTTGCTTTTAATTCCTAGTGTCATTCAATTTTTGTTAGAAAACACACAATGTATAATTTTAGTGTTTTAAAATTGATTTATTGTTATTTTAAGACAAGATCTTACCAACACCGAGGCTGGAGTGCCGTGGCATATTTTTGGCTCACTATAGCCTCAGCTTCCTGGGCTCAAGTGATCCTTTCACCTTTGTTTTATGAGTAGCTTTGACTACAGTCATGCACTACCATGTCTGGTTAATTGTTTGCTTGTTTGTAGTGTTGGGATCTCACTATGTTGTCCAGGCTGGTCTCAAACTTTCGGCCCTAATGGATTCTCTTACCTAGGTCTCCCAAAGTGTTAGGATTATAGGCAAGATCCACTGCACCCACACCCAGTCAGTACTTTTAAATTTAGTAAAACTTGGTATGTGTCCTAACAGAATATACCAGATGCAAATAAGAATATTGTGTATTATCTTAGTTTTGACTGGAGAGTTTTGCATGTGTCTGTGAAGCCTAGTTGGTCTATAGTATTATTTGCATGTCCGTGTTCTCCAGACCTCATGCTGCAAAATGAATCCTCAATGCTGGATGTGGGATCTGGTGGGACATATTTGTGTCATGGAGGCAAATTGCTCATGAATGGCATGGTACATTCTCTTTGTAACCAAAACTTTACACTCTTATTAATTCAATGACAGCTGGTTCATTAAAAGAACCTGACTCCTTCACCTCACACTTTCTCTGTCTCTTACCATATAGTATGTCCAGTTACTCTTTACCTTCCACCATGATTGTAAGTTTCCTGAGACCCTCACCAGAAGCAGATGCTGGCACACACTTCTTATAGTCTGCCAAACCGTGAGCCAAATAAATTATTTTTCTTTAAAAATTATGCACTCTCAAGTATTCCTCTGTATGCGAAATAATATGGTCTATAATGTTTCCTAAGTTTTCTGTTTCTCATTTTTTCTCTGAATTTTCTATTATTGCAAATGGGGTCTTGATGTCTACAATTATTATGTTGCTATGTATGTCTTGCTTCACTTTTGTCAGTATTTGCTTTTTATATTTTGGAGCCCTGATGCTATGTACACATATACATATAGATAGATAAATAATATAGTTACAGATTCCTGGTAAATTAACTCACTTTGCCATAATATAATATCATTCTTTGTCTAATGGTAGTACTTGACCTATAGCATATTATGTCTAATACAATCATGACCACCTCACTCAATTGTGGTTACTATTTTTATGAAATACACATTTTTTTCCTTCTGTTACTTTCAGCCTATTTGACTCAATGCTACAATGAATCTCTTGTATGCAGCATACTGTATGCTTTTAAAGAAACCACTGAGGCATTCTATAGCTTTTTTTTTTAAATGTATTTATTTATTTTGAGATGGAGTTTCACTCTTGTTGCCCAGGCTGGAGTGCGATGGCGTGAGCTCACTGCAACCTGCGCCTCCCGAGTTCAAGCAATTCTCCTGCCTCAGCCCCCCAAGTAGCTGGGATTACAGGCACCTGTCACCACACCTGGCTAATTTTTTTGTATTTTCAGTAGAGACGGGGTTCCACCATGATGGCCAAGCTTGTCTTAAACTCCTGACCTCAGGTGATCTGCCCACCTCTGCCTCCCAAAGTGCTAGGATTACAGGCATGAGCCACCACGCCCGGCCTCATTTAATTTTGAGATAGGGTCTCACTCTGTCAACCAGGCTGATTTGCATGATTCACTGCTGCCCAAACCTCCAAAACTCAGATGATCCTTTCATTTTAGCCTCTCAAACAGCTGGGTTACAAGTATGTGCCATCACAGTCAGCTAGGTTTTCTGTATTTTTTGTAGAGACAGAGTTTTGCCCTGTTGCCCAGGCTGGCCTTAAACTCACGGGATCAATTGATCAGCCTACCTTGGCCTTCCAAAGTCCTAAGATTACCTTTGATTTTATTAAGTAGTTTAATTAATTCATATTTACAATGATTAAAGAAATGAAGTTGTTATTACCGGTTAGATTGTTATTTTACGTGTTTCTAATAGTTATAGTCTTCTCATCTCCTGTTTTACTTTCTTAATTTTCATTTAATTTTGTACTGTCATGCTTTCATTATTTTTTTATCTCCTTTTGCATACTTTCTATACATATTACCTTTGTAATCATCTTGAAAACTGGAGATTATATACATCTTAAAATTAAAACAATATATTTCAATCTCATAACTTCAATTGAATACAAAAACTATGCCTCTATATTTTACAGTTTATTCATATAAAAATTATTTTATATGGTATATCTATTATCAGATTTATGCAGATTTACATATTGTTTCTTATATTTTATAAAATCACTTTAAAAGTTTTTATGTACCATCTTTTTTTTTTTTTTTTTTTTGAAACTAAGTCTCTATTGCCCAGGTAGTACAATTTTGCTGATGGCATTATTCCCATTTGACGGCCTTTTTTGTTTTTCATTTGTTTTTTTTTTAAATAACTTTAGCAATATCACAGTTTTTTTCTGAGGTGCAAAAATGTTTTAAATAAATTCACTGGTGTCAGGCGCAGTGGCTCATGCCTGTAATCCCAGCATTTTGGGAGCCCGAGGCGGGCAGACCACCTGAGGTCAGAAGTTCGAGACAAGCCTGGCTAACATGGTGAAACCCTGTTTCTACTAAAAAAGAAAAAATTAGCCAGGCATGGTGGTGCACGCCTGTAATCCCAGCTACTCGTGAGGCTGATACAGGAGAATCGCTTGAACCCTGGAGGCAGAGGTTGCAGTGAGCTGAGGTTACATCATTGCACTCCAGCTTGGGCAACAGGAGTGAAACTCTGTCTAAAAAAAAAAATTCACTGGTTATCTCACGTGACTATGCTTATAAATGGAACATCATTATGTGATTTTTGAAATTTTGCTTATATGTGTGTTTGTTATAAATATATTTGTGTGTATCTAAGTTTGTTTATACAGTTTTGCATGTTTACATCATATTTTCTTTTAATAAATTTTTCAGTTATTTTTTGTATTTTTTATATCCACAATTTTTGGTTTTTTGGTATTTTAGTATTTCTTTTTATTCTCATTTTTCTGATTTTCAGTAGTTGTCTGGGTTTATCTTTTTTTTTTTCTCATACAGAGTCTTTTTCTGTCACCAAGGCTGGAGTGCAGTGGTGCGATCTCAGCCAGGCTGATCTTGAACTGCTGACCTCAAATGATCCACCCATCTCAGCCTCCTAAAGTGCTGGGTTTACAGGCATCAGCCACCATGCCTGGCCTTTTTTATTTTATTTTTGAGACAGTGTTGCTCTGTTGCCCAGGCTGCAGTGCAGTGGTACAGTCTCCACTCACTGCAACCTTCCCCGCCCAGGTTCAAGCAATTCTCCTGTGTCAGCCTTTCAAGTAGCTGGGATTACAAGCACATACCACCATGCCCAGCTAATTTTTGTATTTTTAGTAGATACAGGGTTTCACCATGTTGGCCAGGCTGGTCTCAAACTCCTGACCTCATGTGATTTTCCTACCTTGATCTCCCAGTGTGTTGGGATTACAGGAATGAGCCACCAACACTGGGCTGTTCAATTCATTTGGAATTTTAAAAATTACTTTATATACTTTTTGTGGATGCTTTTGAAAATTTTATAATTTTTTTGATGGGGCCATGTTGTTTTAATATTTGGTATACATTACAATCTTTGATAGAGATTTGGAAATTAACAAAAAGCTACCTGTTACAATCTTTATAATATAGCTTTGTCCTGGTGTAGTCTGAAATCAATTGTCTTGGCTAGAGAATCTGGGAATTTCTCAAACATGTTTTTAGGATGAATCTTGTCTAAAATTTTGTGTTTATTGTTTAGTTAAATCAGCTTATTTGTATTTCTTCTCAATAGTCAGTAATCACTTGCTATCACTTGCTACACCCATTCCCTGTTTGGAGTACTGCAGTTTCTCTGCTTCTCTATAATTTACCTTTAGACGCAGCAAACTGTCATTCCAATGTATATCACCATTGTTTTCAGCATTTTATGTCATGGGACACATTATCTGGTGTCTAAAAAAGCCCCTAGAAGACAGAAATAAAGATGTATGCACCAATGTACATACATTGTTTTTTAAAAAGGAAACCAGGAGTTGGCGCAATTTACATTTTTGTGTGTGTGTGTGAGACAGAGTCTCACTCTTACCCAGTCTGGAGTGCAGTGGCATGATCTTTGCTCGCTACATTCTCTACCTTCACAGTTGAAACAATTCTCCTGCCTCAGCCTCCAAAGTAGCTAGGATTACAGGTACCTGTTACCACGCCTGGCTAATTTTTTTTGTATTTTAGTAGAAATGGGGTTTTACCGTGTTGTTCAGGCTGGTCTCAAACTCCTGACCTCAGATGATCCTCCTGCTTTGCCCTCCCAAATTGCTGGAATTACAGGCATGAGGCATGAGCCATTATGCCTTGTTGGCAATTTATTCTATTATTATTATTTTTTTTTTGAAACAGAGTCTCGCTCTGTCGCCCAGGCCAGAGTGCAGTGGTACAATCTTGGCTTACTGCAACCTCCGCTTCCTGGATTCAAGAAATTCTCATGCCTTGGCCTCCTGAGTAGTTGGGATTACAGCTGCCGATGACCATGACTGGCTAACTTTTTGTAATTTTAGTAGAGAGAGGTTTCACCATCTTGGTCAGGCTGGCCTTGAACTCCTGACCTCAAGTGATTCACATCAGCCTCCCATAGCGCTGGTATTACAGACGTGAGCCACTGCACCAGGTTGGCAATTTACTTTTAAAGGCACAATGTTATGCTGGGGAGCAAGAAGAGCTGTTGCATATAAGTAACAGACTTTTCTTTATCTTCTTTGTGACTGTTTGCTTTATGCTCACCCGGGGCCTTTCACACACTTAACTCATTTATAAATTTTTCACAAATGTATTTCGGGCAGTATGTTTTTGTTACATTTATATGTCCAGGAAGAAATTACAGCTTGAGGTATTTTGCTATGTCATCTTGCTTATGTAGTTTTTATAACTTTATAAGTTAGATTTGTAAAGTATATTTATCTGAGTCTACCAATTGAAGTAATGTGTTTTTGTTGTTTCTTTCAGTTATGTGTTCTCATTTTGCCCAAGACCTTCAGCCAGAGCAGAGCATAACAGATTCTTTCCAAAAAGTGATACTTAGAAAATTTGAAAAATGTGGACGTGGCAATTTACAGTTTAAAAAAGGCTGTGAAAGCGTGGATGAGTGTGAGGTACACAAAAGAGGTCATAATGGACTTAACCAATATTTGACAACTACCCAGAGCAAAATGTTTCAATGTGGTAAATATGGGAAAGTCTTTCATCAATTTTCAAATTCAAAGAGACAGAAGAGAAGACATACTGAAAAAAAAACTTTGAAATATGTAGAATGTGGCAAAGCTTTTAACCAGTCCTCAACCCTTACTGCACATAAAAAAATTGATACTGGAGAGAAACCCTACAAATGTGAAGAATGTGACAAAGCCTTTAAGTACTTCTGTACCCTTACTACACATACAAAAATTCATACTGGAGAGAAACCATATAAATGCGAAGAATGTGGCAAAGCCTTTAAGTACTCCTATACCCTTACTACACATAAGATAATCCATACTGGAGAACAACCCTACAAATGTAAAGAATGTGGCAAAGCTTTTAACCATCCTGCAACTCTTTCTTCACATAAGAAAATTCATACTGGAGAGAAACCATACAAGTGTGATACATGTGGCAAAGCCTTTATTTCATCCTCAATCCTTCGTAAACACGAGAAGATTCATACGGGAGAGAAACCCTACAAATGTGAAGAATGTGACAAAGCCTTTACCCGGTCCTCACACCTTACTATGCATAAGATAATTCATACTGGAGAGAAGCCATACAAATGTGAAGAATGTGGCAAAGCTTTTACGTGGTCTGCAGGCCTCCATAAACATAGGAGAACTCATACTGGAGAGAAACCGTACAAATGTGAAGAATGTGGCAAAGCCTATACTACATCCTCAAATCTAACGGAACATAAGGCAGCTCATACTGGAGAGCAACCTTACAAATGTAAAGAATGTGGCAAAGCTTTTAACTGGTCCTCAGACCTTAATAAACATAAGAGAATTCATATTGGACAGAAACCAAGAATGTGACAAAGCTTTATTTTATTATTATTTATTTATTTTTGTTTGAGAGCGAGTTTCACTCTTGTTGCCCAGGCTGGAGTGCAGTGGTGCAACTTTGGCTCACCACAGCCTCCGCCTCCTGGATTCAAGCGACTCTCCTGCCTCAGCCTTCCTGAGTAGCTAGGATTATAGGCATGTGCCACCACACCTGGCTAATTTTGTATTTTTAGTAGAGACGGGGTTTCTCCATGTTGTTCAGGCTGGTCTCAGACTCCTAACCTCAGGTGGTCTGCCTGCTTTGGCCTCCCAAAGTGTTGGGATTACAGGCATGAGCCACTGTGCCTGGCCGACGAAACTCTTTAAGGAAGTTCTTAACCCTTATTACGCATAATTCATACTGGACAGAAACCCTACAAATGTGAAGAATGTGGCAAAGCCTGTAACAAGTTCTCAGTTCTTTTATTTTTATTCGTTTATTTATTTTTTGAGATGCAGTTTCACTCTTGTGACCCAGGCTCGAGTGCAATGGTACGATCTCAGTTTACTGCGACCTCTGCCTCCTGGGTTAAAGCCATTCTCCTTCCTCAGCCTCCTGAGTAGCTGGGATTATAGGTGCCCACCACCACGCCCAGCTCATTTTTGTATTTTCAGTAGAGACAGGCTTTTGCCATATTTGCCAGACTGGTGTTGAACTCCTGACCTCAGGTGATCCACTCACCTCGGCTTCTAAAGTCCTGGGATGACAGGCATCAGCCTCAATTCCCAGCCACAGGTTCTCAATTCTTAAGAGACATGGCGATAATTCATGCTGAAGAGGAACTCTACAAACCTGAAAGATGTGACAGTGCTTTTCCCAACACCTCCAACTTTTCTACGCATTAAAAAAAATTATACTCTGTGAAACCATAGAAATGTATGAAATGTGACAGAGCCTTTATATGGTTGCCACACTTTATTGTAGGTAAGGTAATTCATACTTCCAAAACACGCACAAGTATGAAGAATGTGGCAAAACTTTTAATCAGTGTTTACACCTTATTTCACAGGAAAGCTATTATCCTTGAGAAAAATTGTACAAATATAAAGAATATGGAAAAGCCATTAATGCCTATCACATCTTACTCAACGTAAGATGGTTCATAGTTATTAAAAATAAAAGAGAAATTATTGTGAAAAAAATCTTTCAGAAAATATAAGCCTTTAAGGTGAAGAAGAGTATTGATTCTGAAGACAAGCATTACAAATATAAAGGGGTTTGTAGTACCTTTGCTTGTATTACAGATCTTATTGCACGCATTTTGTATTAGAAGGAAACCCTAAAGCAGTTGCCAAGGTTTGTTCAACATCGGGGAATGTATATTGAAGAAGATTCCTGGAAATGTAATGAATTTGGAAACACTTTTTAGATAATTATTTGTGACTGGGCACGGTGGCTAATGCCTGTAATCCCAGCACTTTGGGAGGCCGAGGTGGGAGGATCACCTGAGGTCGGGAGTTTGAGATCAGCCTGACCAACACAGAGAAACCCCATCTCTACTAAAAATATAAAATTAGTCATGCGTGGTGGCACATGCCTGTAATCCCAGCTACTCAGGAGGCTTGAACCTGGGAGGCAGAGGTTGAGAGTCGAGATCATTGCACTTCAGCCTGGGCAACAAGAGTGAAACTCCGTCTCCAAACAAACAAACAAAATTATTTGTGTATAACTAAAAGTAGATTTTTAGGAGCATTGTAATTACATTAAAAGTATACTTGTTCCGGCTGGGCACGGTGGCTCACACCTGTAATCCCAGCACTTTGGGAGGCCGAGGCAGGTGGATCACGAGGTCAGGAGTTCAAGACCTGCTTGGCCAAGATGGTGAAATCCTGTCTCTACTAAAAATACAAAAATTAGCTGGGCATGGTGATGGGCGCCTATAATCCCAGCTACTCGGGAGGCTGAGGCAGAGAACTGGAATTGCTTGAACCCAGGAGGTGGAGATTGCAGTGAGCCGAGGTCACACCATTGTCCAGCCTGGGTGACAGAGCAAGACTCCATCTCAAAAAAATAAATAAATAAATAAAGTATACTTGCTTCCTTAAAAAATTTTTTTGAAAAGTGAATAATGATGTAATCCAGCTTTCAAATTACTTTATGCTGTTATTTTATTATTGTATTCACATGTGAAAGCATGTGTTCAATTTTTGCTGCATCAGATATATTAGTGATACTTTTTTATTAGTTGGGCATTTATGACCTTTTCTATACAAGGACATTAAAATATAAGATGTATGATGAAAATATAAGTGGAAAGGCTCTTTGTAGTTAACCTATATTAAGTAATGTAATAAGGTAGGTGTTCAGAGTAATACTTTTCTACATTATAGTGAGAAATAATTATAGAGAAAAGTATATTAAACTAAATTAGTATATTGTACTTTTATTGTAACTAAATTAGTATAACAAAATGCAGTACATTTAAAAATTGTTAGATTATGAGTGAGCTTAATTTAATTTGATGTTTTTTTACTATGTTAAGACTATTGTGCATTTAATGAAGCATTATTATGCCACTAACTAACCTATCCCACCTTACTCAAAGGTGTAGGTAAAAGATGGTAGCAATATACTATTTGGTACATAATAAAGTAATATCTCTACTAATCACTTTGCCAGTGGCTTTAAACAGCAAATGAATGTAAGAATATTGTTCCCATAGGTTAAATTTTTATTTTCAGGAGAAAAGAACAATTTTTTTTTTTTTTTAATAAAACTTGATAAAAAATAGTATTTCAAACTGTACAGTCACCAGAAGTACACAGTTATCAAAAATGCACACACTTCACTTGGCATCTCCAGCACCTTCAGCTTTCTGTGCCTGGTCTGTTTTGGCATCTCCGTTTTCTACAGGGTTATTCCCCTCCTTGCCAGCATCAGCTTTTCCCTTTTTCCCTTTGGATACCTTCTCTCCCTTCTTTGCAGGGGCCTTTTTAGGCTTGGGCTCTGGCTTTGGAGGAGCAGGTTTAGCAGACAACCTCGCGGATCTTCTCTGTGGTTCGTCCTTCACCTTGGCTTTATCTCCTTTAGCATCCCCTTCAGCCTTTCTCTTGGGCATGGTGGCGACGGCGGCGGGACGTAGGTGCTGGACGCGGGATGCAGCGCGCGCGGGCTTTGGTCGGTCCGGGGGTCGTTCTCGCCTCTTCTTCTTCACACTGCTCCGAGAAAAGAACAATTATTGGAACAAAACAAATTATTTTTTGGTGGTTAATAATTTAAGGTGGTTATTTAATTATTTAAGGTGGTTACTTAATTATTTAAGGTGGTTAATAAAAAACTAAGCACCCCCAGAATGCTGAAAGCAAATCTATACTTTCTGCTTTGTCTTATTTATTAATGTAAAATTTTATGGCTTATGTGTCAAATTTTTTTCAGAATCTGCCTATTAAATTATAGGCAGCTTTGTCTCCAGAAACAACACTCTTGAGTATAACAATAAAAGCCCTCTTCAAACAGAAAACAAATAATCATTGTTAACACTTATTTTAATGAAAATTCAACCAAAATCAAGTAATTGGATATATTTTTATTATCCTATGTCTGTGTGAATGTATAAAATGGTGCATAAAGGAAAGATAATTTAAGCCAGAAAAAAAGATGTTAAATAAAAATATTTGTAATGAATAAAACTGGAAATTAGTTAATTATTATTTGCAGGTGATATCTTTGTTTATGTAGATAACAAAAGCAGCAGAAAATTTTCACGGAGTCTCTCTCTATCGCCCAGGCTGGAGTGCAGTGATGCGATCTCAGCTAACTGCAAGTTCTGCCTCCTGGGTTCACTCCGTTCTCCTGCCTCAGCGTCCCCAGTAGCTGGGACTACAGGCGTCTGCCACCACGCCCGGCTAAATTTTTTTTGTATTTTTTGTAGAGACAGGGTTTCACTGTGTTAGCCAGGATGGTCTCGATCTCCTGACCTCGTGATCCGCTCGCCTCAGTCTCCCAAACTGTTGAGATTACAGTCGTGAGCCACGGCACCCAGCCGTGAGAAGCTTTTAATAAATAAGCATTTAAAAGAAACTAGGGTTACTTGTTATGTTTAAAATATATGCTATTCTCACACAAAATGAAACTGCTGCAATCCAACCTGAGAAGCCAAGAATAGCCTTACATTGTTAAACACAGAAAATATAAACGTATACTTTGCAGAATAGGGTTAGGCACTCTGATATGTGAAAGAAAATAGGAAATTATGTTATTCTTTAGCTATAGGCTGAAGAAAGTAGATGAAAATCCTGTAATTCCTTCTTGCCTGCAGCAAACTTAAATTTATAAGTAACTATTTGGGTAAATATAGAGTGCCTATTAATTATGTAATTTACTTCAGACATAACATGCAAATTCTAGCATATTGTCCTAAATATGTAAATCTAAAATTACCGACAAATTTGAAATAGAAAATAGAAGGTACAGGGAGGGTGACATCAGTAAGATGAAAAGATTTAAAATGCCCTATTTTGATATCCCCTTACAGCAAAAAAAAAAAAAAAAAAAATCAGCCATCCCTGACAAAAATGCCTTTATTGGCTGGGCACGGTGGCTGATGCCCTTAATCCCAGCACTTTGGGAGGCTGACACGGGCAGATCACGAGGTCAGGAGTTTGAGAACAGCATGGCAAACATGGTGAAACCCTGTCTCTACTAAAAAACAAAAATAGGCGGTTGTGGTGGTACACGACTGTAATCCTAGCTCCTCAGGAGGCTAAGGCAGGAGAATTGCTTAAACCTGGGAGGCGGAGGTTGCAGTGAGGTGAGATGGTGCCACTGCACTCCAGCCTGAAGGAGAGAGTGAGTCTCAGAGAAATAAATACATGCCTTTATTAGAGAACCAGGCATTATGGCTCACACTTGTAATGACAGCTACATGGTACATCAATGATGGAGAACAGCTTCAGGCCAGGATTTCGAGACCAGCCTGGGTTATGTAGCAAGATGTCATCTCTAAAATAAGTTCCTCTATGAGAGATTTGAGATCCAGGGATGGAGTTGTGAAACTCTGTTAGAGCTTATGGTTGAGAAGTGTTCTATTCAGAAGGCAGGCCCTCATTCAGATGGAAAACTACCTGACCACTGTTCTTGGCTACAGACCAGGATAGGGTTCACCCAACTTGGTCCCACTAAGAATTCTGAACTTACTCTGTAATCATCCGAAACTCCTCCCAGCCACAGTCTGGCAGAGGTCTTGCCATTCCAAAGACCTGGAGGAAGGCACATATTTATAGCCATGCAGGCAGGCCTGCAGACTGGCCTGTACAGGGGTCCCTGAAGTGGTCCAGTTACTCAGTTTCTGCAGACCCAGCAGCCTTGTGACCAAGTTACGACCCCTCTTCACTACAAATTCAGAGGGCATCTCATCACCCTAAGGGCCCAACAAAAGACG